AAAGCCTGAAGGGTAGGGAGGGTGCGAATCTCCACGGGGAGATCGTTCCAGAGGGCCGGAGCAGCCACAGAGAAGGCCCTCCTCCGGGTGGGCGACAATCGGCATTAACCGGCAGATGGAATTCGGAGGAGGCCTAGTCTGTGGGATCTAATAGGTCTTTGGGAGGTGATCGGCAGGAGGCGGTCTCTCAAGTACCCAGGTCCAATACCATACTGAGTTCATGTACTTTCTTTCCAATCACTTTCAGAAATTGCTTGTTATTTATTGATTTATCAAATTTATATGGCTGTCAATCTCATAAAAAGTGACTCAGGGCAGCCTAAAAAAAATAAATAGAACAATAAACAATAGAACAATAAACATATTAAAAACATGTTAAATGAAAATAGTTCAACAAACATTCACCTAGATTATTGTTCATGCTTCTGATGACGCGAACTTTGGTCTGCAAAAACTAAGCTACAATAAATTTCCACAGGTCTTTTCAATATTTCCGTCTAATCTTAATGAAAGCTGACATATTTAGGAATGTCCTATCATCAAATGCAGCCCAAATGCATTTGGGGTTTGCTGTTTCAGAATTAGTCATACTGTGGCCTAGAGGTATGAGTCATTATTTTGCAGTTCAGTTTTACAGGTTTGCTAGAGGTCTGCTATACAAGAGTTTTCTGTGCTTGTGATCAGAAATCTTACAAGTAGACTTCCTCACAAAGACCAAGACTACAAGCACTGAACTCACAATCCCCTTATCCGTAGTATCCATAGACAATACTAGCTATGCTTTAAAAAAGCTTCCCTAGGATTGCATTCGTGTGTAGGCAATGCAATTCAATGCAATGCAAGGAAGATTTCAGAGATCTATTGCATTGCAATAATATCTCTTCTTTCTAAAACTTTTGCACTCACTGAACTAGCAGTAATGCTAGCAGCAACCCACCCCTGGTGTGGACTACTTCAAAGTGCTCTACATTGGGTTATAGCACTTCTAGTGGCACATATGTAAGACTTCTGCTGTGTAAGCTGTATTGGGTGTTGGCTTGCTTCGAGGTCCAATTCAACATGTTGGTGGTCATCTTTAAAACCCTTAATGGCATGGGACCAAGTTACCTGAGGAACAGCCTGATGCCAATTATATCAGCTTTTTCCACCTGGTCAGGCAGAAAGGGCAAGTTTCCAACCCTGACAGCTAAAGAATTCAACTGGCAGGAACCAGGAAGAAAATCTTCTCTACCACTGCAGAACATCCTGCCCTGAAGTGAGGGTGACTCCCATCTTTCTGGCCTTGTGGAAGAAAGTTAAAAAACTGGCTCTATCAATTATCCAGGGGATCCAAAAGCAGAATGCAACTCTGGGGTAACTGGTCATCATTCCATTTTTTAAAAAACTCCTGTCTTTTTAGGTTTGTTTTTAACTCTTTTAACTTTGTCTTTTGTATGGATTGTATAGGTTTTTTTATCTGTAAACTGCCCAGAAAACACTTTGATAATAACACTTAGACTATTATACCACTTCACGATGTTTTACAGTCCTCTCTAAGGGGTTTACAGAGTGGGCCTATTGGCCACATCAATCTGAGTCCTCATTTTACCAACTTTAGAAAGATAGAAGGCTGAGTCAACCTTGAGCCGGTGAGACTCGAACTTCCAAACTGCTGGCAGTCAGTAGAAGTAGCCTGCAATACTGCATTCTAATCATATACTGCACTTTAACCACTGCACCAACAGGGCTCATAATGAGATGGGGAGTATATAAATTTGATGAATAAATAAATCAAATGGCATTAAATGAATCACATGTGTCAGAATTCTCCATTCCTCCATATTCCATAGTAGCTGGTCTCCAACTTCGACAAAGATTGATAGCTCAGGGTAGTGGTGGATTTCCATTTCTTTTACTAATGGTTCATGTGCAGAAGCGTCCGGGCAGGTGGACGGAGCCTCCCACCACCGTCACTACTGGTTCACCTGATCCGGGCCCAACTGGGAGCAACCCACCTCTGGCTCAGTGCAATCACTACTTCACTTACGGGAAATTCCACCTTAATACAGACAGCTCAGCAAATGCACTAGACTGTATACAAAAAATTATTATAGCAATAAATGTTTCCTATTGACATCTTAAAAACTGAGGCTGTCATACTAGATCCTAAACAAACAATGTTTGACTTACCACATTGTTTTTACGATGGCTCTGGACAGTGAATTCTGGACAGAAGAGCAGATCTGCAATGGCTAGAAGCAGTGACTCAGCCAGTGGCCTAGCATTTTCATCATCTTCATCTCCCTATAAATCAGCAATAAGTTACAATATTTCATATCTGACCTTATATCATTAAAGTCTACAATGGGGGGAGAGGGGTGTTAGGGAAATCCGGATGATTATTAGGTCAATATTGTTACTGATACTTTATGACATACAGGTAGTCCTCAACTTATGAGCACAACTGAGCCCAAAATTTGTTGTTAAGTGAAACATTTGTTAAATGAGTTTTGCCTCATTTTACAATCTTTCTTGCCACAGTTGTTAAGTGAATCACTGCAGTTGATAAGCTAATAAGCCAGCTGTTTAGTGAATCTGGCTTTCCCATTCACTATGCTTGTCAGGTCTCAGGTGATCACATGAACCAGTTGCCAAGTAACTAAACTTTGATCACCTGATCATGGGGATGTTGCAAAGGTCATAACTGTGAAAAACGGTCATAAGCCACCTTTTTCAGTGCCATTGTAACTTTCAACAGTCACTAAACGAACTGTTACAAGCCAAGGACTACCTGTATTATGCCACATGGAAAAATCGCATTTACACAAGCCAGAAGTTTCATTACAATATAGATACTATAAGGTTTATCCCCATATGCACTACCCCAGGCAAAATTCAAGCAGGCTGAACTACCCCGACTATGAACTACTGTGGTCTGATACTTGCAACTACAATTTAGATGGGCTTCAATTCATTATCTTTCGTATGAACAGAATTTTAGCAAAGCACATAACTTCATTTGCTGTGGTGCAGCCCGTGACCAATATACAATAGGAGCAGAGATCACTTATAGAATATATGCTCTCGGCTTGCTGAGACCTATGAGACCAAAATATCTCCCTGCAAAACACCCTGAGTGCTTCAAGGCTTCAAGCTCCGTCTTTTTGTCTCAATGCTGACGCTTCACTCCACATTTACAACAGTTTCCAAGGAAACCATAGATCCTCATCAGCAGGTCTCTAGCTCTTTCCCCCACCCCTCCCTCCTTACTCATCCCGGATCTCATATTCCTGCCCCCACCCTGTGCTGGGGGGGGGGAAATGACAGGCTCTTATCTGTGACAGCCAGCCTGTATCAACTTGTGCATGACATGGACACAAAGGCTTTCACTCACAGCAAGCAGACTGGATTATAATAATAACCTGTATTGATCTGACATTATCTAGTGCCACATCAGAACATCTAATAAAAGTGTTTCAAATGCAGAAAACAGTCGCAAGACATTAAAAAAAAATCAACTGCAGATACTTTAATTTAGTTTTGAAATTAGAGAAGGAAAAAGGAGCCTTAGAATCTGAAAGGTTAAAAACATGAATCAGTTAACTAAAGAGATCATTTTATGACAATCCATCAACCCCATGATAATCAAGATATTTAAAACAAAGCCATACCTCACAGGAATAAACGCTAGACAGCACTGATGAATTACTGGTTACAATTCTACATGAGATTCTCCAGTTCAGTAAAATGAACAAAAACACTACAATTATTGTACACTTTTAACTTTTGCTCAGTTTAATAGAATTAGCTCAGAAATACTGTATTTATAGAATTTACTGAGAGAAGATTAATCTCTTATTTTACAAATAAGAGGTTGTCACAGAAAAGAGGGGGGTCAACCTATTTTCCAGAGTAAAATAAGCACCTGTAGGCCAGACAAGGAATAATGGATGGAAAATGAACAAGGAGAGATTCAATCCAGAAATAAGGAGAAATTTTCTGACAGTGAAATCAATCAACCAATGGAACAGGTTGCCTTCAGACGTTGTGGGAGCTTCATCACTGGAAGCCTTCAAGAAGAGACTGGACTGCCATCTGTTAGAAATGGTGTAGGGTCTACTGCTTGAGCAGGGGGTTGGACTAGATGATCTACCAGGTCCCTTGCAGCTCTGTAATTCTATTCTAAATATCAAGCATTTTTATGCGTTCCCAGAATTATAATAGTTAATAAAGATATCCTCAAGTTGAACTTACCATAGTAAATGGATCTTCTATGTTAGAGGATATAATAGCATTATGGAAACATTTTACCACTGTCATTTTCAGGCCGGGGTGGGGGGGGGGGTCATATTTCCCAAACTGTTCTACACTTTTGGGATTCCCAAGCTACTCCCTCCCTATGTACTAACCAGGGTTGATCCTGCTTAGCTTCTGAGATCAGCAAGGACAGCTGGAGGTTGCCACCTGCTAGATTAATTATTTAAAATGTTTTACAAAGCAACAGTTAAATTGGCTCCATAGGTTCAAATCCAGTGAGCTGGCAGCCAATGCAGGTTCCTAAGTCATAGCTGCAGTCAGGACAAATTGCAAATGAGCAAGAAACAATGTTCTGTTCTATTTTCATATTAATTAATTGTTGTTTGCTTTTTTAAACCCTATCCTCTCACATTTCCTGTTTCAGTACAGAATTATGAGGATTAAGATAGAAACTTGTATTACATCCTCATAAGGGAAATTTGACAAGAATGGCTGATTTGATCAAACTATTTCAAAATCAAGAAAAAAATCTAAGTGAGAAATCATATTACAAGTATAAATGGCTATGTGGTATATGCATATCAGCACATATTGAAAGTGTCTGAATGATTATTGTTGAACCATGATTTGAATTCTGGTCAAATTCTTTGACAGGAAAAGGGAGAAACATGAAACTAGGAGGGAAAAAATATTCATACAGGTTTTTCCAGATGATAGCAAAACATTTTTAGCATTACTAAAGAAGTAAAGATGCTCAATCCTAATTGCACACTTCTTAATTACTGCCAGGAGCATGCAAAAGCGTAACTATGAATATTTTTATTTATTTAGTAACCAAATGATCCAAAGATGGGTAAAAATAGATTAAAACATCTTTGAAAAATAATTAAATCATTACTAGCGGGAAGGGAGTGAAACAAGAATCTGGATTCAGTGTTTCTGTATCTGTCTAGCAATAGCACAGACTTATATACCACTTCATAGTGCTTTTANAGGGAGGGAGGGAGGGAGGGAGAAAGAAAGAAAGAAAGAAAGAAAGAAAGAAAGAAAGAAAGAAAGAAAGAAAGAAAGAAAGAAAGAAAGAAAGAAAGACATTTTAATGACAGAGAGCTTCACTTTTGGATACTATGCTGTGAAGAAAGCTACGAGGGGGCAGCACGATGCAAAATTAGTGAGTCATATTGTGTGTATCATAAAACACACAGTTTTTTCAATTTCCTAGTGTTTCACAATTAATCTCAGGCTTACATTACAGATTCTGTTTTTTCCTATCTCTAAATTGTGGAAAAGATTAAATCTGTTGATGAAGCCAAGTTCTCAAGGTCACAAAAATGGAGCCACAGGATGCCCAATGCTATCCCACCGTGCCTTTGGGATGACCACAGACAGTTGGGAGCATTTGCAGTCACATACAATTTTATCTATATCAAGGCAGGAACGAGAGAGGCTGTTTGCGATGTCACCTTTTGCTATATAGATTAGAAATGCCAGATTTGTCATTCTGTAAATAAGCACCAGTCACCCAGGGACTTGGATCCAAATACAATTTATAATTCTGGAATCCCCAGTCTTAGGACTGGGGAATCAGTTGAAAAGACACTGAATCAACTTTTTCCAGCATAAATTCTGAGAATAGGTAAAGCCAAACTTACATTGATCTGCTCTAGCATCGTTAAGAAAATAAAGGATTGGCACCAGGATATCTAAAACGTCACTGCTTTTCAGAACAAAGAAGAGAAATTTCTGAAAAAGAAAAAGACCAATTAGACACCAAGTTGATCGAGGGGGAGTCTTTATAACTGTCACGAAAGCTGGACAAAATAAAACTGCATCAATAGGGGAGAGGAATGTTTCAGCATCTTTATTAATGTTTTCTAGCAGGCCTGTAAAAATATTGCATTTTAAAACATTTTCCTTATTTGTTCATTTTCCAATGGCTTCACATTTTTATACCGGTTTACGGAGGGTAAGACTGAGGATTTTGTGAACCGTCAGTCTGTGAATTCCTTACTCAAAGTGATAATTTGTCAGCAAACTTGGAGAAAATTGCACTGTTGGCATTAAAAATGCCTTGAATAAAAATCCTCCTCTTTTCCTTATTTTTGATCTGAAGGCATCAAAGAACAGGCAAGCATCATAATTTTCCTATGCAGATTGCTTTCAGATGATGGTTTCTCAGGAATACAGGTTCAACAGGCCTGATATCTGAACACACAGGCAGAGATTGAGACTTGTTAGGTACGCAGCATCAGCAATGGGTCAGTGCAGTGGTGGGTTTCCATTTTTTCCACTACCTGTTTGCTCGTGCACAGAAGCATCCGGGCGGGTAGGCGGAGCCTCCCACCACCGCCACTACCAGTTCACCTGATCTGGGCTGAACTGGGAGCAACCCACCTCTGGGTCAGTGACTCCAAACAACTGCATCACAACCCAATCTTTTGCAACCATTTGTTTCTCTTCTAATCCAAAACTGTTACCGTTGACCAGCTCATCACCACTAAGATTCTCCCGTGTGTTCATTTATCAGGCTCTGATCCTGCTCTCCTACCCCAATTCTTTAATAATGCCAGCAATAGAAAACAGAACCTTGTTGAAATCACAGAGTTTCCAGAAGAGAACCAGCAGCTCTTGATGGAACTGAATCTTTTTAGTCGAATTTGGTAGGTAGGTTTGGAGCAGAGGGTTGGAAAGCAGACGAGCCACTCCTTTCAAAACAAACTGGAAATCCTAACATAAAAAAGCATAAATATGTTACAATATGGAAACCTAAGATTAAGCCCATACAATTTTTTAAAAATCCGATTCATTACCTCTTCTCTGTGTATTCTAGACAGGTAATTGACAAACAGGTTGTCTGGTCCTGGAGGCTGCATTGAAAGAAACCAAGCAAATGTTTCTTACATTTAAAACACCCTTGGGATAAGTATGTTTGTCTCTGAATTCATTGGCAAATGACATTTTCACTAAATCAGTCAAACAATCCTGATACTATGTTAAGTGTTAAACTATAATTGATACCTTTGATCCCAAGGATCAATGAATCAATGAATATCAATGAATTATAATTCCCTGGAGCCTCAATCAGGATAGGGTACTGGGAGCTATAATTCAGCAACATCTGGAGAGCCTTCACTATTCTAAGAACTAGGATATAACGGTTGCTTATCATTTTATGAAATAAATAAAACATAGATCTAATATTTCCTAGTTTAAAAAATATACAGCATAGAATAGATTAATTAGTTCCTTTTCATCAGAAAACAAATGCCTAAAGTGCTCATGTCTCTGTTCATTCATGGGTATTATGAATACCTCTCCAGTATGCAGTACAGTGAGGAAATACAGGAAAATGTAAATATTTATGCTAGTAATGCAGTGAATGAAAAGGTCTGAATTAATAAATCTGCTCATGGAAAAAGAATTCAAAATAGTTAGTTTGGTATTGAGAAGGCAAATGTACATCTTTAAGCACTTAAGAGGCAATATTTCAGATCCATCACATTGCTTTAAGATGCAGGTATTCTTCGACTTACAACAGTTCATTTAGTGACCATTCAAAGTTACAATAGCATTGAAAAAAAGTGACTTGTGATCATTTTTCACACTTACGACTGTTGTAGTGGTCCTGAGGTCAAGAGATCAAACTTTGGACACTTGGCAACTGGTTTATATTGATCATGGTTGCAGTGTCCTGGGGTTATGCAAGAGGGATTATGTGACCAACTTTTGCAACCTTCTAACAAGCAAAGTCAATGGGGAAGCCAGATTCATTTAACAACTCTGCCACTATCTTAACAACAGCAATAATTCACATAACAACTGCAGCTAGAAAGGTTGTAAAATGCAGCAAAATTCACTTAAATGTCTCACTTGGCCACAGAAATTTTGGGCTCAGTTGTGGTCATAAATCGAGGACTACCTGTATTTGATAAATGCTTGCTTAAAACAAAATCAGAAAGATGGTTAAAATCCATTTTTATGTTTGAGCCCAAATATCTTCAAATGTTTCAAACCAATTATCTGAATTCTTGGGAACCATGGAAAGCTACCATTTGAGAGAAGAATTTAGTACCATCTTTCTAGGGTCACTTATCTTCTATCTATATAAAAATGTGTGTGTGTGTGTGTGTGTGTGTGTGTGTGTGTGTGTTCCGGTATAACTCTGGAATGCCTCGAGCAATTTCAACCAAACTTGGTACACAGATGTTTTCTCTGGAAAAAAATACTGTGGGGGTAAGACACCCCTTGGGGTGTGTGTTCTGTCAAGATATAGCCTGTTGTGCCTTAAAATGGCTTCTACTGTACTGCCGCAAATTGGATTATACTGTACAGCGCAGTGGAGTTGNGCCGCCGTGGTTGCGGCGCTCCTAGTAGACTGGGCCGTGAACCCCGACGGGGCCGGCCTGCCGACCCGAAGCCCCGTAGGCTTCCGCAATGGCCTGACGCAGCCGATGCCAATGGTAGCCGAAGACACCCTCGAACCCAGCGACCCCGGCTGGAACGAAACAAACCAACAAGGCCCCGACCTACAGACCCCCCCTGTCCACCGGAGATAGAACCGCAGGGCGCGGTGCACGTCCAACCGATGCCAGAGCCCCCCCTATCCTAGGAACGGGCCCGGGCCAGGCCGGGCAGGACGAACTCCCAAGCCTAACGAAGGGAAGTGTTCACCTACGGGAAGAAGGTACGAGCAAGGCTAAGCACCGCCCCGCCCTGTAGAGATGACAGGGGCGACCCCAGAACAGGGTGCCCAACTCCATATACACCGGGCGGAGACAACCGCCCCAAGGAAGACTGCAGATGAACATACCGAAGAGATTCGAAAGGGGCCCCTTTCAAGCCCTGAGCACAAGGGGAAGAACTCACGGGGAACCCGCAGACAGAGGGAGACCCAAGAAGCCGCCCCCTACAGAGAACCTTGATCAGGGGAACCTGAGAGAGGGAAGAACCCCCACCCCCTACAGGACCGAAAACAAAACCGCCACCGGGCGGCACAACTCTTGTGGAGGTCCGTTGCCAAGGCCCTTCCTTTAGGAAACCCGTGACGTTAGGGAGAAAGGTGGCCCTGCCGGGCGAAGGCCAGGAGCATAACACCACCGGACGACACCCAGGTGGAACAGCAGCCGCGGGCCGTAAAAAGGCGCCGAGGCACCCCAAGTTGCGAGGGACCCCAGCGGCCAGGCCAGCCCCCCCAACAGCTGCGGGACAAGAGTCAGGGGACAGATGCAACCACAGGGACCGGGCGAAGCAGGACCCCCCCCTGCTGCCAGGCCAACCCCTCCCACGGGAGCCTCCGCGAAGGGGCCACTGACAGCCGGACGAGGTCCGCGAACCAAGGCCCCTAGGTCCTAATGGCCCACCCCCACGATCAGGGCCCCCATGCCACCCCCCTCCGGGGAGACCCGGAACCAGGGGGAAGGGAGGAAATCATACCGAAGGCCCGCAGGTCACCTTCCCCTGAGGGCGCTCGCGCCCTCCGCAGACTAGGACAGGAAATGGGTGAAACCCCGGGGAAGAATGGAACATGCGGGCGAGCAAATAGGCGCCCCAGAGGAGTGCCGAGCCGCCAACAGATCCACTAAAAACCAACGACTGAGGGAGTAGGCCCGCTCCCTTGGCCAGAGCTGCCCGATGCAGCCAATCCGCCAGGAGGCAGGGGAGCCCGGGGTGAGTCTCGACTCCGAGAACAACCGGCATCCCACCGCCCAGACGTCCAGGGCCAGAGCAGAACGGCAGAGAGCTGGAGAAGGGGCCCCCCTGACAGATGTGGGCCTCAGCGATCACCGTGCCCAACGGGAAAGCACGCGATGCCCCAACACCGGGGCCTGAAGGTAACACGGAGCCCGGCGGGCCGGCACTAGTTCCATCCCAATGACGAAGAGGTAAAAGTCCAAAAGCGACCACCTGCCCTGAGCCAACCAGGAGCCCACCAGGGCCCCCCCCAAACAGGTCCGCGTCCGTGATGACGCACGCTCTGTCTGGCTCCTTGAATTAGAAGTCCCGCCGAATGGCCTGGGCAGACACCACCCCGGCGAGACTCGGGCTACCCCCGGGAGGCGGAGGATCCACAGAGAGGTGCACAGTCGAGCCCCTTGACCAGGAACGAGGCCCCCCAGAAGAGGCCAAGGGCCCGGCTCACGGGACTATCCCTGCGCAAGAATCATCTCGCCCAAAAAACTGAGATAGAGGGAGAACTGAAACCGAACGATGTCATTGAACGCCTTCCGCCAGCTGACGTAGGCCGTAGCAGAGCTCCCTGGACAGACTCATCCCCTCCCCCGACATGGAGCCTATGACCGAAGCCAGGCGTGTGGAAGGGGAGAGGAGGCTGCTGGGGAAGCCCGCCGAGGAAAACGAGACTAGGAAGCTTCCAGAAGGGGCGCTAAATATCCGAAAGACCTGAATAGGATAGCCCCGCCTGAACCAGACACCGCCAAGGGAACATCGGAGCCCCCTTGATGGGGCGCGGACGAGCCGCCCGGGCCGCCAGGGCCTTCGCGAAGGCCCGGGGAGCAGAGTCCAGCCCAAAGGGAAGAACTCTGTGGGAGGACCCCAGGAACCCGCGATGACCGGCCAGAATCGAGGTACGAAGATAGGCCTCTGTGAGGGCCACTGAGGCCAAGGAGCCCCCTGCCCGATACCCCGAAGGACGGAAAAGAGGGAGGACGCTCTCCTCGCCTGTGCACCAGAACGGTGCAGACGTGTGAGGACCTGCCAAGCCTTCCAGCCACCCAGAACCATGGACAGGTGGGAGAAGCGTTCCAGGCCCTGTTCATCCAGAGGAACCGCCTGCACCGCCCGAGAAGAAGGGCGATGGTCTGAACCACCAGGCAGCGGCACCCCAGGCTCCAGGACGGAGGAAAAACCCCAAAGAGAGCCGGTGGGGTGGAGAGAATCCAACGCGGGAGCAAGGCAAACAGTGGCTCATGCCCAAGCGTCCGACACCGACCCGTCCCAAGGATTCGCCTAGCGGGATGACGGCCTCCGATGGGATGACCCGAGGTCGAGCCCCTTCCCTCAGCGGAAGGGGCGCTGCCCCCCCCCTGTGGCTGGACCGCCTGGACTGGAGGTAGGAGCCATATCCACTCCAAAAGGATGAACTGGGGAACTGCCTAACAAAATGGAAGAAGAGAACGCAGGTTATTGACATAATCGGAAGCCCATACTGGCACATGACAAGAATGAGACTCAGAGCCGGCTCAGCAGCTTCAAGCGGACGAACGGTCCCATGTTCCCATCCTTGGACCGGGGACGAGCCCCCTCCACCCAAAGGGACCAGGCCCCTCGAATGGCATGGCCGCCCAGTGTCAGTAGGCCGAGCCAGCCCTCAGCCAGTGACGCAGTCACTGGAGCCCGGGCGACGTGACCGAAGTGGTCAGCACCCTGGACGCAAACTTGAGCGAGCCCCGGTCGCCCCAGCGGATGAACAGGCGGGCTGCCCTGATCTAGAAGAGATCCAGGTGGCGTCGCTCGCCTGGGACGTGAATGCGCTCCGGAGCTGCAAAGGCCACGTGACCGTGGCCTGACTAAAACAGGAGGCCGAGGTCGCAGATGCCGTCTCACGCAGCGGCAATCGACTGCACATCTAAGGACGCTCAGCACGCCTGATGGATACCAGGGCAGCCACTGGAGAGTTGACGGACGGCAACTGAACAGCCAAGGCAAGGGCCCATTTCACTCTAAGAGCCAGTGGCCAATGTCCCCAGTACAGAAGTCGGGGGAATGCGCCCACTGTATAGTCAGCGCCTCCCTAGCCCAGGGAGGAGCCGAAATCACCTTCTAGTCCATGGCCGCGGCAGAAACGTGGTCATGCCAGGATCCCTAGGTGGAGGAATCAAGGTCCCACCCCACCTAGTCATGTTCCGTGCCCTGCCCAAGGGCATTGCAAACAAGTCTGGGCCAGGAAGCCCAGAAAAATG